GGAGGAGGAGGAGGAGGAGGAGGAGGAGGAGGAGGAGGAGGAGGAGGAGGAGGAGGAGGAGGAGAAGGAGGAGGAGGAGGAGGAGGAGGCTGGAGGAGGGAGGAGGGAGCAGGCAGGGGGCACTCAGGGTGGCGACCGGGGGCGGTCAGGCGGGGGACCCCTGTTGCTCCTTGGCGCCCCGTCCCGCCGCGCGCAGGTGCCCAAGAAGCGCAGCACCCCTGCGTGAGCGGCCGCTGGCTCCCGCGGCCTGCCGCTCCTCAGCTCGGTGGTCCGAGGTCGGCGACTGCAGCGGGATGGGTATGGTTACGCTGGGGTGCGGTTTGCGACGGCACAGTTGGGGCCTGCATGACGCTGTCCTCGTCGGGCCTCCTCGGGGCGCGGCGGAAAACTATCGCAGTCCCCGCCCGACCCCAGGGTGACCCTCGGGGTGCAGGTTGCAAACCACACCCTTTGCGAACCACACTCTTCGGAGTCGCCCAATAAGGGGTGGGGCCCCGATTTCAGGGGCAACGATCGGGGGGGGTAGGCTCAGGGGGGGGATGCATCAACCCCCAATCGTCCATTGATCGAGGATAGGGGTCTGACAGCCCCACCCCGCCCAGGAACGATCGGATCGGCTATCGGGGGCCCGTTGCCGATCTGTCGGCGATGTATCGACGATTCCCAAATCGATGGTTCCCCCTCTTGCCAGTCACCCTATGCCAGTCCCCTCCATCTTCACTGCTCCTCAGGAGGAGGAACGGCACATACTTCAACTTGTCGGAGGTCCGCGAGGATTGCCGGGATCTGCGCTGGACCCCCCTGGCGGCGCCTTCAGCGCCGCCCTTGGCGTGCGGATCGTGCCGGGGAGGGGGGTCCAGCGCCGATCCAAGAAATCCGCGCAGACCCTCGAAGGTTCTTGTTGAGGCAGTCTTGTTCTTCTCCTACTTGCCCCGTGCGGCTCCACAGATAGCAGCGCAGCTGATGTCGGCTCTCAGTGCACCGCTCGCGTTGTATCTGAAGGGCTTTCGGGGGGCAGGCCCGCGTTGTCGCTGGCACGTGCTCTCAGGACCATCGACAGGAGGGGCCTCGCCTTCGAGGGATCGAAGAGTTATCATCTCTTCCTCGGCGGATGGCCGGCAGAAGGTTAGCATAAAGGCGGCGGCGGGTTGCCGCCGGCAGAAATCTTTTTACGGGTGTGGGGCCTTAGGAACGAGCCAATGGGCGGGACCCCCCCCTCAAAGCCTCGAGCTTCGCGAGCAAGAAGATGGCGGCCAGGTTTGGGTGATGTCGGGATCCTGGGGCCGCTTTGGGGCCCCGGGGCCATCACGAAACTGCCCTCGGCGAGAACACTGTCCCGGGATGGGGGTCGTTTTCTCCAGGCGTCCGCGTCGGCCTGTTTTCCCTCCCCTCCACTCTTCCTTATCTCCACCTCCACCTCCACTCTCCTGCTCCTCCCCCTCCTCCTCGTCCTCCTCCTGCTCCTCCTCGTGGTCGTTCTCGTAGTCGTCGTCGTCGTCGTCGTCGTCGTCGTCGTCGTCGTCGTCAGATGGATGCAGCCAGCCAGGCTGCGAGCGCCCATGACGGCGCGACCAAGCAGCACCTTCGTTGCCTCGGCTGGAACCCGTGTTGGGCAAGTCGCCCAGACCGATTGGAAGAGATCATGGATGAGTGCCACAATTTCGACTTTGTGCAGCCCGACGAGGGAAAGGATCCGTGGAGGTGCGGGAGAGCGAATGAGGGGCTTACTGGCAGAACACAACCTCTGCATGGGCAATGCCCGAAGGAGCGCTGTGATTGACACATTTTTCGGCGAGACTGGATCGAGCAGGATTGACTACATAGCCTTCCCTCAAGATATTGGTCCCTTGGTTCGGCACTGCCAAGTGTTGCCGCGTTTGGGCGCAAAGCTACAGGCGATGAAGGGCACGCCGCCGAGGGACCACATCCCTATTCATTGTTGCATCGGGTATCGTAAGTATGGAACGCCCAACCTAGCAGAGACGGAGGCGGGGATTGTAAGATGGGATCACACTAAGATGATGGAGGCGGTGCGCACGGGAGCGGGCAGGGAACCCTTTTTGAACGATTTGCGCACGGCAATGCAGACGCTCCCCATACACTCGTATCTTGACTGGGACTCGCCCGACACCATTTTTGAGGGAATCGAGAAGTGCATACACGATGAAGCCGCCAAACACTTCGGAGCCAAGCAGGGACATGGCGAGCCCTACACCTCCTATGCTGCAGAGCGAAGACGGTTATTAAGACGTAGAATTGAGCTACGCGGACAGAAGCAGGAGGCCACGGAGGAGGTGACTACTCAGATCGACACGCAGCTTAACGAAGTCTCGAAGTTGCTGGCGGCGAAACGGCGGAAGTACCAACGACAACGGGTGGCGACGCTGATGGAGGAGGCGGATACGGCGTGGCACCGCAACCGCCAGGCGGAGGCTATGAAGGCTTGCAGGCTCGCCGCCCACAGCCGCTACGGTCCAAAGAAGCGGGGTGGGCGCCTCTTCGCACCTGCGCCGCCGTCGGCGGCGGAGTGGTTGGACACACGGCAGAAGGAGGGGCACAGAGGCGGGATGCAGGCCCACGAGATCGAGTGGGAGACTTGGAGGGCGCAGCGGGAAGGGATGAAGTACGACGACGTGGTGGATGAGGAGATTGCCGAGTTGGTCAAGAGTGACATTAAGAGCATCAGACACTACTTATGTCGTGCCGCAAAGAGGCGTGCGGTGCCACCTGGCACGTTACCGTGCGAGATTTGGCTGATGACACTGCTGCCGAACTACCGTATGAGCCAGAAGAGAGGCCTCGGCAACCCGAGCATCCCGCCCATGGACTCGTTGTGCTCCCTGCTGGCACTGGGCCTCGCCAAGATGAGACACTACGACTGCGTTCCCTTGTGCTGGCAGTGGTCTCGAGGAGCTGGAATTATGAAGAATTCTACGCCAGGCCCGAAGGGCCGCCGAGTCATTCACATTTTGTCATCGATTGGAAAAGCCTTTTTCGCTACTCGCCTGAAGGTGGAGCCAACGAATATGGAGCGCGGCTTTCACCGCCACCGCCGACGGGAGGAGGCGATTCTTACCATGAATGTTTTGTGCTGGCGCCTCCGCCAGAGCGGGCGCACGCACTGCGTGTGCTTTAAAGATATGACGAATGCCTTCGCGTCCACGCGCTGGCAAGATATGGGGCCGGCGGTGGAGAGGGGGGTGGCGGTGGAGGACAGATCGCTTTGCGTGCAGCGTTTTAAACGCAGTGTAGTAACCTTGCAGGGCGAGGACCGTGTAATTACTTTAAAAACTACCCAGGGTGGAACCATGGGGGACCCCTTTATCGTCAAATGTTTTGTTGATTGCTTCAGGTGGCCTGTGCTGGCCTGGCTTAGATCGATGAATGAAGTTGACCCTCAGGCCCGTGCTCTTGTTGCAACATGGGGTCCCTGGAGTGCCGAAGGCAGTTTAGCTAAGTTTGCTGATGACATATGTAAAGTTGTAGTTGCATCGCCGTGCGCCACTTTTAAGGACTTCTTGCAGCTGCTCCGTAGCGTGGACGAGAGACTGGATGAAACGCTCGCCACTGCTGGATTCGCTCAAAATCTTGGCAAGCAGGAGTTTCTCTTCTACATCTGTCAAAATCGGGGCAGGTTTAAACAACTTTTAAGGAGGCCGCGTGACCATGGGCTGGAAGGGACACCCAAGGATAAATGTAGGTACCTCGGACCTTATGTAATGCAGCGGAGTACTTGTCACCATGAGATTGAAAACAGAGTTCGAGCCACACGCAGCAGCTTTTGCTCACTGGGGGGCGTCTGGAGCCTCGCTGGGATTCCCTACCGCATGCGCCGCTGTCTTCTGCAGGCTTTTGTAGTGAACGCCCTCTACACAGGGCTAGGGGGATTTGCCCCAACGAGGGCTGACTGCGTCACGCTGGACAAAGCTTTAGCAGGACACTGTAACGTGGCCATGCTTGGTGATGCCACCTCGTGGGACGGAGCTCACCCAAAAACTTTGACCACGGTGCAGTTGCTTCGTCACTGGAGGTTTGGGAACAGTTGGCTTGAGTTGCGCTTGAGACGTCTTCATATGTATACGAGCTGGGCTTCAGAGCCCCAGCGACATCTACAAGTGCTGTGTGTGCTGTTTGGTGACAGCCCTGCTTGTTCGAGGTGCGCCCAGGTCCAAGATGGTCGCCCGACAGAGTACGCCTCCCCTTTTGTTTGGCAGGTCGTCCGTGATCTTGAGTTTGCAGCTGGAAGGTTGGACTACAGTGTCCTGGAAGCCTTTGCGTCCGACTTAAACGCGTTCCAGGACAGCGAGGCGTGCGAAGATTTCGGTCGAATCGGTTTTCACGAAATACGCCAGCAACAATACACGGTCTGTATCCCTCCTCCTGGCTTGGGTCCCTCCTCTCTCGCCCCCTCTCCTGCGGGTATGTCTGCTGTTGCGGCTGCGTCTCCTCCTCCTCCCCCTCCCCCTCCCCAGGCCGAGGAGATGGGTGCTTTTCGCTGCTGGGTTGTAAATGAGGGGCCCCACTGCGACAGCAGCTTTCCGACAAAGAAGGGGCTCCTCAACCGCCTCAGATTTGCACATCATGTGCGAAATCTTGCATCGGTTTTAACGCGTACGAGCGCTTGCATTTGCTGTAAACAGGTTTTTTTCCAGTCGCGAGACGGCTTATCGCCACCTGCAGGGATCCCTAAAACGGCGACACTGTATTACTAAAGGCCCCTCGGCCCTGGTCCCTGAGCTGACCCCTGGAAGTTTAGACTGTCCGTGCTGTGAATTTTCGGCGCAAGATTTTGAGGATCTGTGCGAACATCTGAGACAGCACCTGCCTTGGCGCGTCTCTGAACGACCGCTTCCTGCAGCAGGAGGCCGCCATGCCAGGCGACGCGGTGATGATGCTTCCCGAGTGGCACAGCCCACCGAAGAGCGGGACGGCGGCGGCAGGCTCCAAGGAGGCGGTGGCTGGCGACGGGGGCAAGGACGGAGGCAAAGGGGAAAGGAGGCGGGCCGAGGCAGAAGAAGGGCCGCACGGGCAACGAGGGGCTCCAGGAGGCGTGCGCCAAGCTGCTGCTGATCACGGCAAGGGAGCTGGCCGAGGTGGGCGCGCGCGTATTCCACAAGTGGTTCATTCCCGCCAGCATGGGGATCGCGATGGCCATGCTCCGAGCGGGGCAGGTTTACAACGGGCGCAGCAAAGAGATGAAGCAGGAGGCTCAGAACGGCGAGAACCCAGACTTCCGCGGGAGAGGCGCTCCTCACCTACACGTGTTCATGGCCATGGTCACATACTGCGCGGCGCTGGGTCAGACGGACAACAAAGACCTAGCCGACGCAGTGGCGGACATCCTCGATCGTCTCAACAACAGCCTCAGCAAGATGAGCTTGCAGAACCTCGGCAGGATCGTGAAGTACTGCCGTGTGAAAATGCAGAAGAAGAAGGACGGCGAGACCCCGATGGCGACCATCTACCTGAGCATCGACCGCCACAACCCTCACGGAGCGCGGCTGTTCGAGACGTTGACCACGGTGATCGAGGCAGAGAAGGGCGAGTACACGAGCGGGCCCCAGCCTCGGGGCCCGCTGGAGAGGGAGATATCGCGGATGTTGGATTCGGCGTAGAAGTGAATGGCAGCAGCAGTGGTGTGACAGCCAACCGAGCCTTCGCCACGCAGCTCCCGTGGGCACTGGCGCAGAGCGAGAGGTTGGCCTTACTGATTGAGCGAGGTGTTGTCAGCAGTGAGTCTGTGCACCGCTCGAGCGGAATTTCGGTGGCTCAGGGATATGCATCCTCTGAGCTACCCTCCATACCAGTTTTGTTGCTGCCGCCGAGGCAGTCAATATCCAGAGGAAAGGGTCGGGGTGGGAGGCGTGGGAGTGGGTCGGGCCGTGGGAGGAAAGGTACAGGCAAGCCTGGTGCCCTGTGAGCTGGGAGCCCCGATCTGGGGCTGCGTGCCTCGGGGGGGCCTCCCCAGCCTGGGCCTGTGCTGCCTATGTGCAGAGAGTGGCCGCATCCACTCTCAACATATTCACTGCTGTCGGCTGTGTAGCAGCCTGCCCAGAGTTCTAAGTGATGCCGTAGGGTGGACCTCAGAGGACTCCATGGGTGCTTGTCTTGTCTTGTCGTCGTCGTCGTCGTCGTCGTCGTCGTCGATATATATCTATATATACACATATTATAGCACTCCCTGTTTCTCTCCATCCATATTTCTTTCTCGCTCTCTCTCTCTGTGTAGCTACCCTTCCCCCCGCGCCAGAGGAGCCAAACCGATTTATCGTCGATCTTCAGGATAGGTTTGAATCAACCACTTTGGCCTTCCTTCATCTCTGCCCCCGCTTGCCCCCTGCCCAGCGTCAACCTTCAAGGCATCACATGTAGTTGCTTCCCCCTGCTCCCTCCCCCTGCCCCCCCTCTTTTCCCTTGCCCGCAGCGCGGACCCCAAGCGGTGAGTTCATGCAGTCTGGATGTATAATCTCTGTGGTACAATCTCTGTGATGCACTGTGTGTTGTGCAGCCTATGGGGTGCAGGTTACGTGGTGCATCTACGTGGCACTACCTGTGTGGTTCAGTTATCCTCGATCGTCTCATGACCGGCTATTGTACTGCTCGTGCAGCAGTCCAGGTGTTGCAACCTATGTGATGCAGGCTTTGTGCTGCAGCCCATGTGATACAACATCTGTGCACCAACTTGCGGGATGAAATCTATGAGGTGCAAGCTGTGTGGCACAATCTAAGAGGTGCAAACTGTTGCTGCCGTGATGAGGCGACAGGGCGTTCACCGCGCGAGAGTCAGGGGAAGCCAACGTCGATGCACGGGGCGGTCACGATAGGCGGCGACGGGCGCCCCGCGGACATCTGGGGAACCCACACGCAAACACACCTAGCGAGGCAAGTGATGGCAACCTCCTCCTCCTCCTCCTCCTCCTCCTCGCCGTCCTCCCCCTCCTCCCCCAACCAGTGAGTTCTGGCAACATGGATGGTCAGGCTGTGTGGTGCAATCTGTCGACGTCGTGCAGGCCAGTGACGCGGTGCATGCAATGTGGGGTGCAACACCTGTGCTGCGAGCTATTTGGTGCAGACGGTCCGGCTCGAGCTGCGTGGCTCAGCCCCTGTGGTGCACGGTGTGCGTTCCAGGCCGAGTGGTGCAGTCTCTGCCGCGCCAGCTATGCCGTGCAGGCTGTGTGGCGCACGAGGCGCCCACGAGGCGCCCACGGGCTCCCGCACGGCGGGACCCCGGCGACGCCCGCCGAGCGCACACGGCGCCCACGAAGCGCCCAGCGGCGCCCACCGGGGGACGTCCCGACGGGCACGCCCGGTCAGTGATCAGCGAGCGAAGAACGGTATAAAATTAACTTTTTCGCCGTCGGGGACACCTGCCCCTGGGCGGCTGGAAAGTTTATACCCCTACGGTGCCACCGTAAGGGTAGAAACTTTCCAGCCGCCCAGGGGCAGGCGCCCCCGACGGCGAAAAAGTTTATTTTATACCGTTCTTCGCCCGTTCAAGTGAGGGAAGCGACCGACAGCCTCTTGGTGCAGGGGCTGTGTGGGGATTTTTTTTCCGGGCGCCAGTCACACAGTGTCTGGTTTTCGGCGCTCCGGCTGACGCGCCTGATCATTGAGGGAGGCCAGCCACCAACTTCTGCTGCAGGAGCTGTGCGGGGGGGGGTTGTCCCAGGCGCCCGTCACACAGCTCGCAGTTGTGTGTCGGACGCGTGCGCGTGCCGCTGAAACGTGGGCGAGGGTCTCGAACGCATTGACCCGTGCTGATGTGAACAGGGGGACTCCAGGGCTACTCGAGGCACAAGTGAGGATCCGAGGCGCGGGGAGCCGAAACCAGGCGAACTCGGGAGGGCCATCCGCCGCAGGCTCCTCGTCCTCGCCTCGGCTGGCCCGGGATTCGGCCCGTCGTGCGATCGCCGTCTCCCTCCTGGGGCCCGTTCGCCCGTGGGGGGCCCTGGGGAGCGCAGAGGAGCCCTCTGCCTCTCGCTGCAGTACTGCGTAACGATCGTCCCGCCCCCACGAGTTAGCGACCCTCATTCCCAAATCAGTGCTTGCACTGAAGGGGTCCTGGCGGCAGTTGAAAAAGACTAGGCGAACGTTTGCCGCCGACTTTGGTGGCAGGCTGGGTTCCCGGGTTCCTGGTTCCGGGTTCCCGGGTTCCCGGTTATTGGCTCCAGGCCGATTTCGGTGGGTTTTGGGTTCCAGGGCTCCCGGGTTCCTGGTCGATCTCCTCAGCGCAAACCATCCAGTGATTGGGGTGTTTCTTTGGTGATTTTTTGTTACATATATATATATATATCATATATATATATATATATATACATATATATATATATATATTGTGTACGTTTTGTGTGTGTGTGTGTGTGTGTGTGTGTGTGTGTGTTTGTGTGTTTGGGGGGTTCGGCGGGACGGGATGCAGGATGGCTCTTGGGCGTCTGGAGGTTCAAGACTTTTTCGGTCGGCGGCGATGTGCTGGGTGCGTCTGGCTGTACTAAAGCAAGCGATTCTGCAGCTTCCAAGTCCAGTCAGTTTGCCAGGGTGTGCTGGGGGTCTCCAAAACAGACGCAAACCCTTCCCCCTGTGGGGCTCCGAACGTCGGCTGGTGACCATGAGGGGAGGGGGCGGGCGCAGCTGCTTACGTCTGGTGAGCACACGCCGAAGTGAGCGTTGTGGCTGGGCGCGATTTTTATAAGTGCAGCAGAGCCGTTTGGGCTCCGAGCGGTGGATATCCGAGGCGCACGGTCAATAGTCGACGGTCATCTCTCTCCACATTCCTGTGCCAACGCGTGGCGTGGCTTGTGGCAAAGGGGAGGCTGCGGGCTGGAGGTCCACGGCGTGTCTCCCGTCGTAATATCATGATATCGACATGCGCCGCGCAATTCTCCTTCGCTGGCGCGGCGGGTTTGCTGCACCTCGTCGCTGGCAGCGGATCCTCGTGCCTCGAGCTCGGTCGCGCAGCTGCCGCGCGGCAGATTCATGCTGTCTTTCCATCCCGCAGCAGAAGGAGACGCTTCTCGTGCCTCGAGATTAAAAGCGCAGCCGCGCGGCGGGGCGTCTGGGCTGCTCCAGGGTCGACGGCTGGACACTACACACCGACGACCGTCCTCACCCTGGTCCCCGTACTGTTTGCCCTTCCCGTTCTCCTCAGGACTCGAATATCTCGTCGTTCTCTCTCCCTACCTCTTTCTCTCTCCACCCCTCTCCTCTTCCTCGTCCCACTTTCCTCACAGTAGAAGTTCCCCGTCATCCTCGTCCCCCTTGCCCTTCTCGTTTTTCTCGCCCTCGTCGTCGTCCTTCTTCTCCCTTCCCATTCTCATCGCCTTCCTTCCTCTCTCTCTCTCTCTCGCCCTCCGTCCCTCCTGTTCTTCTCCCTTTCCTCACAGTATACAATGCCCCCGCCCCCCTCGTCCTCCTTGCCCTGCTGGTTCTCCTCGTCCTCCTCCTTGTCGCCCTGCCACCTCGCGCGCCCTCGCCGTCGATTGCAGCGTGGATTCGCTGCCGCCGTCGCCCCTTGACCCCCCGCACTCTGCCCAGCAGCCTGCTCCCTGGCCAGTCCGCGTCATCGGAGCAGGGGCGTGTTTTTTCTTGCTCGAGCCCATTCGATCTCGCCATCCTCGTGGCCTGCCTCCTTCCCGCTCCTTTCTCTCCTCTGAATTCCTCCTCCTCACTCCTCCTCACTCCTCCTTACCGCACTCCTCGCTACCCCCTCCACTCCTCACTCCTCGCTCCTCCTTGCTCCTCCTCACTCCTCACTCCTCCTCACTCCTCACTCCTCACTCCCCACTCCTCCTCTTTCGCCCTCTCCTTCCTGCAACCTCCGTACTCGTGGCCACAATTTTCCTCACATGGTGTTCCTTGGCAGTGGTCGAATTTGGTGAGAGATCTGGTGATCGGCGTGTTGCCGCCCAGCATCTTCCATCGTCTTGGACACCGTGTGAGCAAATCTGTTTGTTTCCCAGCCATCCTGTCATGTTGGGTCCTCGTTTTGAGGAGACAGCGCCCCGCGTCCTCTCCTCTCCTCTCCCCCTCCTCCCCCTCCCTCCTCCCATTATCATCATCATCATCATCATCATCATCATCATCATCATCATCAGCATCATCATCAACATCATCAGCAGCAGCAGCAGCATCATCATCAGCAGCAGCATCATCATCATCAGCATCATCATCATCATCAGCATCAGCATCATCATCATCATCTTCGTCGTCGTCGTTGTCGTCGTCGTCGTCATCATCATCATCACCACCACCACCATCATCATCAGCATCATCATCATCATCAGCATCATCATCATCTTCATCAGCGGCATCATCCGCATCATCAGCATCATCGTCATCAGCAACAGCACCATCATCAACCCTATCATCATCAACATCATCACCATCACCATCATCTTCACCATCATCATCATCATCATCATCATCATCATCATCATCATCATCATCATCATCATCATCATCATCATCAGCATCATCATCATCATCATCATCATCATCACCATCTCCAACTCCATCATCATCACCATCACCATCGCCATCACTATCACAATCATCACCATCACCATCATCGTCATCACCACCATCATCATCACCAGCTGAATCGTCATCATCATCAACAACAACATCATCATCCTTATCATTATCATGATCATTATCATGATCAGTATCATTATCATCACCATCACCATCACCAGCACCAGTACCATCACCATCACCATCACCATCACAGGGGTCTTTCCGACTCCTTCGGCTCGAAGCGAGTCCGATTTCCGTTTCCGCTTTCGATTTCGCCCGATTCCGATTTCGATTTCGCTTCGCTGCCCTCGCTGGGGGGCCACGGGTGGGCGCCGCCTCGAAATTCTTACCTAAACGCACCCTGGGGTAGCCATGGTCTGCAGGGGGGGGGGGGGCGTGGGAGGGGGGGGAAAAAAAATACCCAGCGGGAGGGGACAGTGGAGGGGACATAGGAGGGACTGGGCATGGAGGGGACAGCGGGAGGGGACAGTGGGAGGGGACAGGGGGGGACAGTCCAGTGGGAGGGGTCAGTGGGAGGGGACAGAGAAGGGGGCAGTGGAGGGGACAGCGGGAGGGGACAGCGGGAGGGGACAGTGGGAGGGGACAGTGGGAGGG